ATTCTCACTCTCAGCCATTGCATAAGCAATTGGATACATCATGTTGTTTCCATCCCATCCCACAGCAATAAACAATTGTCCTTGACAAGGTCCTTTTAAATGACAAGCATAGCCAATCAATGGCCTCACACCAGCTAAAAACCCTCTTCTGATTCCATCAAAGCACACAAACATTCTCTGGAACCTAGGCTTAATTTGAAGTTGAGGCCTCCATACATTGATGTCAACTCTTGAACCTGGATTTGTCTTTATCAACTCAGCAGCATAATCCCACAATTTTGTATATTGTTCAGTATTTGTTCCCTCAAGTTGTACCAATGCTTGTTTCCTAGCTCTGTAACATTTTATTTTGGATACTTTTACAACACATTTATCTTTCATAGTGTATTTAAATTAATTTATTTTCCAGGTAGGGGTGGTCCTGAATTTGTTCACATACTAAGATGCCAAAAATGCACTAGTTACTTGTCTTTTCTTGTAACTTCTGTTGCAAGTGTGTGTGTAGATTTGTATGTCTTAAGTTGTAATGTGTTCTCTCCACTCATCTTAGAGGCATAAAGCCTTTACTCACACCCATCACTACAGTTGACTTGAACCTTCCATGTCTGACTTTTAGTGAATTTGACATCATAGCCCCCTTTCACTGCATATTCCCTTACAACATCTTTAAATTCAATGGCATTATTAAATAACATTTCAATTTTAAATTCAAACTTAGCCATATCAACATCAGGCCTAAATTCAGGGTACTTTGGCTTTCCATTACTCTCCTCATCAGATCCTTTAGGGATTAATAATTCCTTCTCAGATGAATCCTCATCATTCACAACATATTCCTCAAATGCATTGCCTCCGTCTCCATTTGGTTCCTTCTCTACATTACCATCAAACATGATATCATCATCAGTAGGGTCATCCTCACCCTCAGTATTAGCTAAGAAATCACTATCTGATGAGTCATCATTTTTCTCATCTTCATAGTCATGAGACTGAGGATGTTGAGCATTTTCATTATCATTTATAGGGACATCAGCAAAGAATAAAACAGGGTGAGGGGTGTCTACATTGTGTGGCACATGATGCTCAACAAATAATTCTAAGGTGTTTGCAGAGCCTAGATATTGAAACATTTCTAAAACATCTTGGTCAATACCTAATCTTCTTAACCCTCTAACCAGATCTTCTGTGAGAATCCTATAAAAAAACTGTTTGTAATCGCATATCCCCAACTTCTTCACCATATATATCAGCTCAGGCACAGAAAATGTATCAACATTAACAATATCAAACACATGTACTTTACTCCCAAAGTAACTCTTAGGCCCACCATCACTATCTATAAAATACCCACTATGATGTAAAACCAATTTTACATTTATATTATCCATTGCTACATTCACAAATAAACAAATATATCACAAAAAAAAAAAAAAAAATGCATCAAAAATCAATGAACTGAACAAGTGGCATAGGACCAAAAATGGAGATAAAAAAATTGATAAATTAGTAGTCCATCATTTAGTCAATGCAATGGTCCAACCACTCAATTAATGCAGTGGTCCATCAATGGAGATAAAAAATTTCATAAAGCACCCAAGACGTTAAAGTAACCAACACACACATATCCATGCAATAAAGTAAGATACAAATACAGAGTTTGCCATTACTTTATTCACAGAATCAGAAAAAGAAAAAACAAAACTTCATATACAACTTACAAGAAGAAAGAAACAAAACAAATCGTATAAATCACTTACTAACACTCCAAATAACAGTAACTAGCAGTACTTCAAACCCTGGTCCAAATTTTCTTCCAAATCGCAGCAACCCCTTTGCCCTAAATCGACGAAATCAAAGAAATTGAGATAAATTGTAGCCCTAATTGGTGAAATTCAAGATTTGGAGGCTTTTATACGGGTCTAATAAGGAACGACGTCGTTTTTGGTTGGTTTAGGCGCCAAAAATAACTTTCTTCGTTACTTCATGAAACGGAAATGAACGGGAGGCTTACATTGTGACACATAATGAATTACAGGGTTTTAATTGTCAAAATTAAAAACTTAGAATTTAATTTGTAAAAATCTAGAATTTAATTTGCAAAACACACTAAACCTTGAGATTTTATTTGTAATTTGCCCCCCTCCCAAAAAAAAAAAAAGAAAAAAGAAGAAGATTTAATTGAAAAATTATGCAAGACTCTATACCACACCACCACTATCATTCCACTACCCCATAGTCACCCTCATCTTATCATCATCACTTTTTTGGGTGAATAATATTATCATCATCACTCCCATGAAAATTATAACCCTACTTTACAAATATGTATTCAAAAAGAAGAAAAAAATAAGCTTCATTTTTTAATTACTTTTATATATTAATGTTGTGAATAAAAATTATTTTTTTAAAATTATTTGAATTATATAAAATATGAATAATTTCTCATTTGAGCTAAACGATAAAATTTATTTTCACCTCATTTTCCAATGTCACAACTAAGGAGAATTCTATTATACACACCCACCTACCATATACACATTTAATTATGTTATTTTTTTCTATAGTTAGGACAAATTTTCTTCTTTAATTATGACATTATTTTGAGATAATTGGTTATGACTTTTATTTATTTATTTTAGTTGTAACTTAAAAAATATATAATTATATCTTTTCTTTATAATTATAAGGTGCATATTCTTTTCCCAACACTAAACATAAAATCATAATTTTTTTTTCAAAAAATGGTTTTTACAAAAATAAAAAAATAATCAAAACAAAATTATGAATGAGTGGCTAAGACAATTGGCAAAGTACTAGACCCCTACAGGCCAGCTCTCTCTTCCTCTTTTGGATCCTTAGAAGAAAAAAAATTAGAGAGGACTTACTATATTATTATTAATCTTATTCATCAACATTAAAATTATATATTTAAACTCATAAATTATTTTTGTGTGTGTCAATTTCTTACCACACTGCCAACTTAGTACTCAACTGGAGAATACCGACAGAATAGGTTAAGCCCGAACAACCTGCAACAAAAAGAAGAGATTCCGGCGATAGTTCGTCCACCCGGAGACACTCCGACGATCAAGTCAATTATCTTTCACAGATAGCAAAAGTGCTTAACTCACTATTCAGAGCATAAAAAATATACGTTAAACCCATGGGGGTGCCTATCTTTTATAGCTAACACAATCCTAGTCCCAATAGAAGCCTAGCTCTAATGGACTTAGGATTACTACTAATCTTGGACTCCCAGTAGGATTAGGATAAACTCTCTAAGAGTCTTATCTTTACCCAAACTGAAGTCTTCTCCTATTCTAGGACTCTTGTCCCTTATCCACTTATCCCGGATTCCAGTATCTTCGTAGATAACCTCGACCTAGCCAAGATGATCTCGGTGTCATGACCAGGACACGTGGCACTTCGGCTGGCACTTCGGTGACACTTCGGCCACGTGTTGTCATTCAAAAATTATGTCCCCACAACTGCCCCTAGGTTCTATTACCTTGACATCCTGAGGTGATGAAACCTATATCATTCATTCTTTTAATCATGACTCCGGTTTAACTTCAACTTATAAATTTTTAGAATTTCAACAAGTGTTAAACATGATCTTGGTTTAATTTCAACTTGTAAATTTTTAAAATTTCAACAAGTGTTAGACATGACCTCGGTTTAGTTTCAACTTGTAAATTTTTAAAATTTCAACAAGTGTTAAACATGTCCTCGGTTTAACTTCAACTTATAAATTTTTAAAATTTCAACAAGTGTTAAACCAACCTTAGCTTGTAAATTCTAACTCCCAAGCATCATTCTCCAGCCCTCTTTGATTCTCCGTGCCCGACCTCCCGTGAAGGCCGGTGAGAATGCCCTTTTGTCCTGTCGTGCTGAGGGATTGCAAGAACTGTTTTCTGCCCCCCTTTCTGGGCATCTTTCTTGGCCATTGGAATCGGCGTATCTTGTAGCGGGATCGGTGACTGCATGACGTTGATCTGCATCAAGAAATTGACGACCGTTTGCAGGTCCGCCAATTTGTTTGCCATTCCCTTCACCTTGTCGTCCCTCCGCAGGCATCTTTTTTTCCACACTTGGAGGTCATCTTCGTTATAGTACCCGCCTCGGTCTGATTTCTTTGGCACGTCGCCCTCCTGGCTGATGTCCTTTTCTCTGTGATTCTTATCACGAGTCTTTTATTGCAGTTGTCTTCTTCGACGTCAAGGTCTACATGTTTCCCACTTTCAGTAGGGATGTCGTTCCCAACCTTCTCTTTTTGTTCGTTGCTGGCCATCTATTCTCCTTTCTTTTCCACAGACGGCGCCAAATTGTGTATGTCAATTTCCGACCACACTGCCAACTTAGTACTCAACTGGAGAATACTGGCAGAATAGGTTAAGCCCGAACAACCTGCAACAGAAAGAAGAGATTCCGGCGGTGGTTCGTCCACCTGGGGACACTCCGACGATCAAGTCAGTTATCTTTCATAGATAGCAAAAGTGTTTAACTCACTATTCAGACCATAAAAAATATACCTTAGACCTATGGGGGTGCTTCTCTTTTATAGCCAACACAATCCTAGTCCCAATAGAAGCCTAACTCTAATGGACTTAGGATTACTGCTAATCTTAGACTCCCGGTAGAATTAGGATAAACTCTTTAAGAGTTTTATCTTTACCCAAACTGAAATCTTCTCCCATTATAGAACTCTTGTCCCTTATCCACTTATCCCGGATTCCAGTATCTTCATAGATAACCTCGACCTAGCCGAGATGATCTCGGTGTCATGACCAGGACACATGGCACATCGGCTGGCACTTCGGTGACACCTCGGCCACGTGTTGTCATTCAAAAATTATGTTCCCATAATTTTTAAAAAAAACATTGTACAAATTAAAATTTCAAAATTCAGTTATCTTTCATAGCAAATCGAAAAGCAACGGCGTCGTTTTGATCCCCCAACATGCCAACACGATCCGTCGGCGTCAAAACTCTGACTATTTCGCACTGACAGTTATATGCAAAATTTTCCCGAGAAAATTAACAAGAAAGTTTTTCCTTTATGCCCATTCCTTTCTCCTCCGAAATTCATCTTCTAAAAATGTTTCGATTTTCGCTAATCTTATTGATCTCGATCTCGTCGATTATCTATGAATCTTCGAGCTCCTCGATCATCAATCCCTCTAAAGCCAAGCAAGTTTCATGGAAACCCAGGTACTCATGCTCTCCGATCCCCATTGTTTCATTTTCCGCCCTCTGTTTGGTTTCTGAGAAAATATAGGAAAGAAAAAAGAACTCGAATTCGAATCTCGTGTTTTACGTAATTCCTTCAATCAACTCGGCTCAATTGATGATTTGCAGAGCTTTTGTCTACGAGGGTTTTCTCACAGACGAAGAGTGCAATCATTTGATATCTATAGTGAGTGTTATTATAAATTATTGTCGATTTATGTGCATTTGTATTAATTCTGAGCTGATCGTAATGTGAATCATGTTTGGGATTTGGGAATGCACTAGGCGAAAACGGAGCTGAAAAGATCATCGGTTGCTGATAATGTTTCGGGAAAGAGCAAGCTCAGCCAGGTTCGAACTAGCTCTGGGATGTTCATCAGTAAAGCAAAGGTTTGTTCTTTGTGCACTTTGATCTAATTTTTTTGCTATTTTTGTATTGGTCATTGCATCTTATGCATAATCGCTCTTGTGACTTCTTTTTGAACTTAGTTGAAGTTTTTGATCGGCACACTTAGATAGAAACTTTGAAATAAGGGGAAATGGTTGTTGTTGTGAACATGTGCGAAGAAGAGCAAGAGAGCATTTCCAATGCTATTTTTTGGCGATGCTATAGTGCCAAAATAACCAAATTTTAGTAATGTTGGTTCAATGTTAATGTAGTCATATTTTGGCACAATCACCCTATAATTTAATCTTCACTGTCCAAAGTGATCGTGCATGTTAATTGTAATTCTAGGCAGAAAGTCAACCGGCCAAAGCTGCCAGAATTTGGCATTGTGCTATACTTGGTGGTACAATGCCAAATTTTGGCACATCATTGGAGTGGTTTTTTTTTTTGTTCAATTGCCAAATTTTGGCTTTGGCACCTATGCATTCGAGTTGCTCTAAGGTCTAAGCCAAGAAAGTTTGACGTTGAAAGTTTAGTGCAGCTCTTTAAAAGCATTAGGTTGTTAAATTGAATACTAAATAGATTCTTTTGGAGGCATCTCTCTCTCTCTCTCTCTCTCTCTCTCTCTTTCTCACACACTTTTTTTCAATTTTGTGTATAAATGTTATCTGATTGTAGGATCCTATTGTTTCTGGAATAGAGGAGAAGATTGCAATGTGGACCTTCCTACCTAAAGGTAAGCCATATGCTGATAACAAATACTTGATTCAAGCAGAATTTTCTTTGTAAGTCATCACTCGTGGATAATTTTGTAAAATTCAACAGTCCAATACGTTATAAACTGATGCTTAATTTGGTGCCTTACCATATGCGTAATGGTTTTTATTTTATGTAATTCAATTTCTTCTTCTTTGGGGGGTTGTGGTAAGCAAGGATTTATTCAGCAAAGAGACTAATACTACAAAAGTATTATTTATTCCTTTATTGAAGTCCACTGAAATTCCTTTCTTTATAGAAATAGCATGTTATTTAATCAGGAGTTCGATGCAGTCTCTCAGAGCTGGCACCATGGATCCATTTCCTCCCCGTTGAACTTACTTTTAAATGTTCATGGTTTATCCAATTTTACAATTTTAAAGTTGCTACAATAAAATATATGGAAATCTGAGTTTCTCAACCAGTGGATACTGGAAGAAGCTTTGACACTCCAGCTGCCTACTTGGGTACTGGTCTGAAAATTATATGAACATTATAGATTCTTGTATCAGTTATTCTGTAGCTTTCTCTCTGTCATATATGCTGTTTTAGGTAGTGATGCTGCATGAGAGGAGATACTTTGAATCAAATACTGTAGCTTTCTCTCTGTCATATATGCTGTTGATTTCTGTTTTTGAATCAAATACTTTGTATATCAGAATGCCTGCATGTTATCATTGCAAAAGCTTTTCTTTCCAATAGCCTGCTAGTTGGGTATATCTGCTGTCTAAATGGCAGCACTTATATCTTTGCCTTGAGCATAAAGTTCTGATAGTTGGCAGTACAATATGTCTATGTCATGTAATTAAAAATGGGAAGATAGCACAAACAAAGCTAGGTAATGGCTTATCGTGTTTATTTGCATACTGCTAAAGTATGTTGCTGTTATGCCACAAATGCTGCCGTGGCAAATTAGAATTGACTAAAAATGTAACTACTTGGATGAAAATTCTGAAATTGAATGGCCAAATTGAAAATGTTTCAGACCATGTCTGTAAAAACTAACAACTAAATGAAGCTGAACTTGAGAACTGAGAAGAGATGTATCATTGTCTTCATGGCGCAAAGTTTGATTTGTGTTGCTTTTTGCCAGAAAATGGGGAAGCAATACAAGTTTTGAGATATGAGCATGGCCAGAAATATGACCCACACTACGATTATTTTCTTGACAAGGTTAATGTTGCAAGGGGTGGACATCGCATAGCAACTGTGCTAATGTATCTTAGTGATGTGGCTAAAGGTGGTGAAACAGTGTTCCCCTCGGCAGAGGTTAGTTCAAAATTCGTCCTGATTTCAGTTGAACATGACTGATAGTATTTCATAATTATTAAAACTCCAACCAGCTCCTCTTCTCAATATCCAGTCATTCACTTATCCTGAAATTTTGCTTGCTTATTCTTCTTATTTTTCCTGTTAAAGTGAAAATAAAATTTGCTTATAAATATAAAACAGTGTATTACATAGCATATTTTAGTTGATTTCCTTAATTATATGCTTGTGGATCTGCTTGTCCTGTTTTCGATTGCTGATTGCATGAGCAATGACCCAAACATTGGATCCGGTAGCCTGCATTTTATATTATCATTTGAAGGGATATGGATTTTGCAGTACATTCCAGTGAAAAGCTGGTTTTGCTAGGTAAGAAAATCGTGACAGTGAGTTGGCAAAATCTGAATTAAAAGGGGGTTAAGGGCGTAGGGGTCTTCTTTGGAATGGATCATACCAATGAGGAAATAGAAATAAACTTGAAAAGAATCCATCAAGGAAACTTAAAAATTTAAACAAAACTTTTTATTTCCTAATCAAATTCCTAATCTTTCAGGTGTTGCCTCTTGCCCCTCCCAGGATACATTTTTATTCCTCCTCATTGATCCACCATTACATCAGTTTGGCCAGCTTTGTGGAAGCATATGTGCTTGCTGGTTGTAGGGTAGTTGGTTGTTTGGGTAGTCAATTAGTGGTAGATTCTTTGTGGGTGTTTGGGAAGTGGGTTTGTTTGTAGGTTTTTTTAGTTGTAGGATATTATTGGAGAAAAAAAATTTTGTGTTTGGGAAGATAGTTGGGTTTTTTTGTGGTTGGATGTGATGTTTGTGAAAGAAAAAGTGAAATGATTATGGGGTTTGATGTGATATTTTGTTTGGATTTGTTTTTTTTTTTTGGTTTTGTAAAACATTTGTCTTGTAGTGAAAAAAATAAAAAAAAAAAACCCAAAAATCAAGTTCCCAAACACCGCCTATATGTGTGATTTCTGCTCAGGTTTTGATTTCGTGGTTTTTGAGTAGAAACTCTCCATTTTGGTTTGAAGGTTTAGATTTGGGCCTAAGGTTGTCTTCTGGTCTTTGTATACTTTGCGAGTGCATGGGTCACGCCTTCTCAGGTGCTCCTTGTGGAAGCGCAAAGAGAAGTGTGTGTGTGTGTGTATCTCAAAATACCATAATTCTGTTCTATGGGTATCACTGCTTGTCAGTTCATTTTTATTTATCTATGAGAATCTTGTTATTCTTTGTTCTACGATGCATTTTTCTGGACCTTATAGTAATGCATGCAAGGAACCATTACCAGGACCTGTTGCTCTGTGTTTTTATCGAATGTAACTTTAATGATAAATTATAAACTGTCAGCAGGAGGCTCCTCATCACAGTTCTACATCAGATGACGACTTGTCTGAGTGTGCAAAGAAGGGTATTGCAGGTGGGTCACTTCAACACATCATAATTGCTTTTTATGAACTCTGCTGCTGCATTTTCAACTACTTGACACGCCTCCTCTTCTTATTCTTCTTCTTCTTCATCCTCTTCCTTTTTTCTTTTTTTTTCAATTTGGAAACACCCAGTAAAACACAATCTTTTCCCTCCTAAACACACATTAATGTGTACTAATTGGGCGTTGTTGTTGTTGTTGGAAACACCCAGTAAAACCACGAAAAGGGGATGCTCTCCTTTTCTTCAGTTTCCACCCAACTGCTATTCCAGATCCTCTGAGTCTTCATGGAGGATGCCCAGTGATAGAGGGTGAGAAGTGGTCAGCAACAAAATGGATCCACGTAGATTCTTTTGACATGGTCGTGAGACACGGAGGTAATTGCACGGATGGGAATGAGAATTGTGAGAGATGGGCTGCCTTAGGGGAATGCACCAAGAATCCAGAGTACATGGTGGGAACTCCGGAACTTCCAGGATACTGCAGGAGGAGCTGCAGGATATGTTAGCGTGTGAATCCATGCTTTCGAGGTACAACAGTCTGTTGTATTGTTCCACTTTTCATTCTTAACTCAAATTTTGTTCCTCTGTGAAAGCTGTCATTGTTACTCATTTTGAAATGTTAGCAATCCTTGCCGTTATAAGCATTTTTTTTTTTTTTGGTACCAAGCATGTTAATTCCTGTTCATTTTGGTTTTGAACCATCTTCCCCCCTTATTGAGATGGTGCAGAGATTCGTGACCTGAAATTTGGATAGTTTTGATGTGAAACTAATGACGTGAAATGTTAGCATTTTTATGTGCCATACAGTCCAGTCGTAGTCTCTTATCATCCAATATAGCAGCTCCAGGTCAGCTTGTTTGCAACCCTATTTGTTGGAGGGTTTTTCGACGTGCACTTGCGAAATCCTGTAGGACTGCTAAGAATGTCCCTTAAAATAAGCATACCCATGGGGTTGGAGATATCTTTGTGGGTTTGCTTCAAATTTGTGTCTTTTTTTGTCAATGGTTTTAACCTTGTTCACCAACCTTTTTTATGTTGTTTTAGTGGGGCAATCCACTAAGCCATGTTTGCTTCGCTGATTAAGGGGCGGGATAGGATAGGATTATTTCTTTTGGGATAAAATTATCCCACATTTGATTCACGTTTTGTGACCCAAGATAAATCATCCAAGGGTTTCTTCGTAAAATGACTAAATTACCCTTGTTGAGATAACTCATAGATGTGTGAAAAATCTAACCCTGAATGGTATATGACAAGATATAGTGATGGTTGAGCCGAGAGAGTAGTGCTCTTAAACAATGATAATTGATTCTCTTATATCTAACGCAATGTATGAAGATAAAGTTTAAAGGCAACATAACACATTCCTCACATGCTATTATTCTAAGGGGGTAAATTATATATAAGTAGAATTTTTGTATGAAATTTAGGGTTTAGAGTTTCATACAGAATAATATGACTTTCTGTAATTTAATAATTTCAAGATAAAACACTCGTTATTGTGACTCATAAATAGAGTAATCTTATCATTGTTTGGAAGCCAGCTCTCATAATAAGGCATGGCTTGATCAATTACTATAACAGCTTTCAAAAGGCTAGTACATATTCTTTTTAATTTTAAAATTTCATAATTGGTCTATCAATATGAGAAAGAATCTTCATTCCAACTCAACATGAAGAATACAATATTGTAATGTCTCCAATTAAAGAAAAGGGAAGAACATTAGACTCACAACTAACTCATTGGAGTCACAAACATAGAAAATCAATCAAATAATAATATAATTCTCTGTCTATGTTTATGGTGTAGGTGTCTCAAAGAGAGAAGACCAAACCAAACACCATAGCAAAAAAGAAAGGAAAAAAAAAAAAAAGTTAGAAAGACATTTTTGAATTGTTTCCTTCTTTGTTATCGAAGGACTTTTAATAAATTAAAAAAAAAAATTTAAAAAGCAAACATTATAAAAATAAATTGAAAAAGTGTGATGTGACACATGGAGTGGTAAGTTCAATGAAAAGGTTAAGGTGGAATTGTAGAATATAATCAAGCTTTTTACTCATGAATAAACATTCTCTTATTATTAGCTATTGTTTTTTTACTGATCAGGAATACAAGAATACGAGAAGAGCTTTTTGACTTGAGGTTTAAAAATTACTCCTAAACTTAAACAAGAAGGGATTGAAACCTTCATTGATAATGTGGGGAGAGCATTCCTAGTTATAAACTCGGATTTTTATTTATGGGAGTTTATAATAGATTGTTTATTCTCAAAATCAAATAAATTGTAAGAGATTTTGTGTTGAGTGGATAAAGTACTTTCTTAGGTCTCGTTTGTCAACTATATATTTTAATTAAAAATCTAAAAAGTTATTATAAGTTGTCACATTACTCTCTTTATTTTTCTTCATATCTTTGCATAAAAAGTCAAAATATTACTAAAATAGCATATTTCTAAATGAGCCCTTAGTTTCAAGCAAACTTGTAGAGTTGTAACTTGGATTATTATAGCATAAGAGGAGTCTTAGGAAATGATTTAACTTAAAAGACAGACTGCCACTGCATGGTGATGGAGTAAATTACCAGTTGTCTATTGGGATTTGAGCTTTATTACTATATGTTATGCAATTTTTTTTTCCTCTATTCCCTTTAAAAAAGAAAAAAAAAAAAAAATTCTCTACAAAAATAAGACGACCAACCATAGCACAAATTTTCTACAATCATGGAAAAACAAGCATGACTGACTTGAGGTAAACTTCCAAGTCAAGTCAACCAAATGTTGAACTTTTGGATCAAAACTATTATCCGCAAAAACAATTTTTGATTTTGAAAACTGAAATATTTACAAACTGTACTGACCACATGTGATTGAAACTTTTAAAACACACTCCACAAAGTTCTTAACACATTTATTTGGGGAAGAGTTACGTGATATCAGTTTTTGATTGATCAAATGTCAATTTTAATGCCTGATTCTCATTTTTAGTAAAAAAGCATACCTAATTTTAAGTTAAAAAGCATACCTAATTTTAATTTTCAATTTTTTTTCCCACCCCAAAAGTAAACTTTAGGGAGTTCGAAGAGGATAAGAATCTTTTGTCATATTTTTTTATAATCATTTTTTAAGGTAAATTATACTCACCTCCCTCAAATTTTTTTAAAAAATACACTTAACCCCCACTTTTAACATAATTACATTTTCACCTATCTCCTTCTGTGTTTTAATTCACGTACCACTTTAATTTTTTTTTTCATCAATAACTCATAAGTCGTATGAATGGGAAAATAATGTTATCATATATAATCTACTAAAATGTATATTTACTTTTGTTTATTTTAATATTTATCCACCATCTACATTAGTTTTGACAGTTTTAATTTTATTAAAAAGGAGATTATTGTAATTATGTTAAACTTGTGATACTAATTGTATGTGTTTTAATTCACGTACCACTTTAATTTTTTTTTTTCATCAATAACTCATAAGTCGTATGAATGAGAAAATAATGTTATCATATATAATCTACTAAAATGTATATTTACTTTTGTTTATTTTAATATTTATCCACCATCTACATTAGTTTTGACAGTTTTAATTTTATTAAAAAGGAGATTATTGTAATTATGTTAAACTTGTGATACTAATTGTATTTGTCTCAAACTTCAAGAGAAGCAAAAGTAATTTATCTTAATTTTTATTGTATTTTTTTTTATCATAATAAAATAAGTCAATAAAGTATATAACCTAATAACTTAAAAAACAGATAAATGTAAAATAAATACTAAAATAATTCTTCCATCTAGAAAAAAAACTATCAATATACTTAACTAATAAAGAAGCAAAAGAAAATACATATATATACAAATGATTAATTTTATTAATACATAAATCATACTCACATATCAAATGACTAATTTTATTAATAAGTAAATCAACAATTTTTTATGATAAGAAAAATATTTTTAAGTTAACCATTTTGTTAATAAATAAATCATTAAATCAATTAATAGTTTTTAATGATATGAAAAATATTTTTAATAAAGTATTTTGATAATTTATTATTGCATAATAGTTTTTTTCTCGAGTATTGTGTTAAATTAAAATTTATAACAAATATAAAATAAAATATAAATTTAAATAGTGTATTTGTAATTTATTAAAAAAAAAAAATATCTTTTTTTTTTATTATTATTTTAACTTTAAATCTAAACCGTTAAATTGATCATGACATAAGATCTGATTGGGTCAGAGAGGCTCATAAATGATGGGATAGGGAGGGAGGGCTATTCTGATTCTCTGTGACAAAACAGAGCACCAAAATCCAGATAAGGAAAGTAACATTAAAAAGGTAGCAAATACACACTACTTTTTGCTCTCTCTCACACTCTCTCTCATCTGCACATTAAATTCACCAAATCCCTTCTCTCTGTCACACACTCTCTCATCTGCACATTAAATTCACCAAATCCCCTTCCAGGATTTATATATAAAGGCCTTTGATTGAACAATTATTCCACCAAGATCTGCAATATCAGCCAACCCACCACAGCTTTTATTGGGTGTCACTGCTTTAAGAAGCCAGAGAGAGGCTTGTTCATTTGTCTCTGTGAAGAGAGAAGAAGAAGAAGAGAACCAAGAAAGCAAGCAAAGCATGGAGGTGGGTCAGTTGCAGAGACAGTATGTTGAGTACACAACATCGTTGTTTCGTGAGGTAATAAAAAATGAACACGTAAATGAATGATTTTTATATAGTATATTGGTTTGTTTTGGTTTTTGTTGTTTTGGGTTAATTTTTGTTGATTTGTTGTTGTGTTGTGGTTGTGTTGTTGGGTTGAAGGGGTTTCTTGATAGTCAGTTCACACAGCTCCAGCAACTGCAAGATGAGAGTAACCCTGACTTTGTGGTGGAAGTGGTGTCTCTCTTCTTTGAAGATTCTGAAAGGCTTCTCAATGATCTCAACAAAGCTCTGTGAGGACCCTTTTCTCTTTCTTGAATTGCATATTGTATTTTATTTTATTTTTTATTTTTTCAGAAAATTTGTTTGGCTGACTGTTTCTGAAAACTGAAACCTTTTCTTTCTTGGATTATTAGGGCCTGTTTTTGTTTTTTGTTTTTATAAAATTGGTTTGCATTACTGGGGCATGTTTTGTTTGTGTTTTGTTTCTCTAATTTCCCTTATAATATATATATCTATCTATCTATCTATCTATCTATCTATCTATCTATCTATCTATCTATCTATCTATCTATCTATCTATCTATCTTATATATTTGGTAAACTGTTGTGTCCTGTTGGATTATTGGGGCCTATTTTGTTGTACGTTTGTGTCCTGTTTTTATTTTTCAGAAAATTTTGTTTGCCGAACTGTTTCTGATTTTTTTTTTTTGGAAAGAACCCTCTTGTAAGAAATCTCAAAAAGTTAGTTTTTAAATTTTCAAAGGCTGTTTTCGCACCAAAATGAAAAAAAAAAGAAAAAGAAAAAAGAAGAAGGTGTTTTTGATTTTTCATTATTTTTCTTTCCGAAACATGAAAACAACATTAAAGAAAACGAAAACAAAAAACCAAACAGTGTTTCTGGGTATGATTTAGTTTAGGATGGCTTGAAAGGGCAACATAAGATTTCTTCCATGTTCACCCTTAATCTCTCTTTCTTTACACAGAGATCAGAAGGGTGTGGATTTCAAGAAGGTTGATGGCAACGTTCACCAGTTGAAGGGTAGCAGCTCCAGGTATGCACATAAATCATTTTCACCTTTTCTCCAAGCCTACATGTACAAGTGTTTTTGCATAACGTACAAGATTTGCAATGCATGTGACGGGTACAGAGATAAATTGAGTGGGTGTATTTTTAAACGGGTGTATAGAGAAACTGAGACGCAGGTTTATTAATATGAAAATTAAGAAACACATGTTTTTTGTTCATTTTCTAGTCCATAACGTTTTGATGAGATTGAAATGAATTTTGTAACAGCATAGGTGCAAATAGGGTTAAAAATGCGTGCGTTGCCTTTCGCAACTATTGTGAGGAACATAACACTGAAGCGTAAGTATTGTTGTTACTCATATTATTTTATTTCCCTTTTATTTTACTCGATTTGATACCCAAGATTTTGTTTTGATTCCTGTTTTTTAGATTGATTGTGTTAAATCAATCTGAAATTTGGAATTAGTTCTTAATGGGCCACATCCATAAATTTTTTGATGTTCTTATCAAGAGTGTTGGGTGCATACAGGTGCTTTGGATGCCTGCAACAAGTGAAACAAGAGTACGTGCTTGTGAAAAACAAGCTTGAAACTTTATTCGGGGTGAGTACATTAATCCTGTGTTTGGTTAAGAGATTTAAGAATAGATTTGGAAAGAGAAATGAAAAAGGTAAGTGAAATGTAAATAAAATATACTTATATTTCACCTAATTTCACACATTTTTTCTTTTTTCTTTTTTAAGTCCCTTTCTAAATCCCCAACCATACATAGCATAAGTTTCTTTCTCAAAACATATCTTTTTTTGTGTTTTCAAGAATAAAAATAATGAAAAGTTCGGAAAAACCATCATTTCATTTTAATTTCCATTTCTAAAAGCAATTTCAAAACAGTTTGCTAAACAAGTTTTTTGAATCAGTTTTCATTTTTCTCTGTTTTGGAGAACAAAAAAAATAAATAAAACGAAAACAAAATCAAATGTGTTGCATTTTAGCATATTCCCACTCCCAAGATTAAAGGTTCCTTTTTCGATTTGCAGCTTGAGCAACAAATTTTGGCTGCTGGTGGATCAGTTCCCATGATGGAATGAGCGATTTTCAAAGTTACAAAAATACAGTCAATGTGAGTAAAATTCGGGGTGGTGGTGTTATGAAGCTTTTGTTAGTTGTTTTTCAAATGTTCACTTGACCTAATCAATGGTTCTATAAGCTACTGAGCTTGTGCTTGTATGAATTTTAAGAACACCTTTTTAATGAATTAGCCATTTGATGACCTAATTCGCTATATGATTTTTAGTTATTTCATCCATTTTCCGCGTGATTAATGGAAATTCTCAATGCTTGGAATTCAAATTGTTCTAGATTTTTGATGCGGTGGCTTTGTGAAAAACGATAAATACATACCAACTGTGTAAAATACAAAAGTATTGTCTTATTCCACATCATATTAATGACAATAACCTTAACCCAACATTATAAACCACTCACATGAAAAGATCAAAGAGAGATTTGAAGTTAAATAAGCAATGAACAAAGGCTGCAAGATTAAGAAAGAAAGCGAAAGAACGACAATAACTCAAATACGCAATGATGAAAACAAGAATAAACAAAATCTGATCCCCAAAATTTCCCTTCCAAGACAAATTATTTTATTCTTCCCAAAATTTTAAATTGAAAAGAAAAACAAAAAAACAAAAAAAACTGAACTGTTTACATCTCTTAACCTACGAAAACATAAGTGGGTCTTGGCAGAGTCTCTTTGGTTTATTACTAATCAAAGAAATGAAAAAAAAAAAAAAAGTGTCTTTGGTTTGTTGTTTGTTACTCTACGTCTCTTAGATGGCGACTCATAAGAGAAAAATACAAATATACATGCATAGATCAATTGAGAGAGCACTTAGCCGGAGATTTGGCATTAATTTAGTCTGAAAAATAAATATTTGACAACGCTTGGATTTTGGCACGACTTGGCCGAATGCATATTGTACATATATATGCGCATAATATTGTATGTATGATTCTATCTGTACAAAGCACATGAGTCCATGAGTTGGCATCAGGGTTCCCAAGTGTGTGTACATAATACACTTGTATACATGCACAATATATTTCAAAGTATACACACATTTATTGAATTGGTCCTTGTAATTGGGGAATGCACGCCAATGGGACACTCCAATAAGTTTATTGGAATTGACTCCGTCTCAATGGAATCTTGTCACCCATCTATGAATTGATGTGGTGTATATATTCATATCATAACATATATGAACAACAAGAACTAGCATTCTTTATGGAGGCTAGAATTTGTAGTGAAGAAAATAGATTTATGGATGGAATCAAATATGCAATATTTACAGACAAAGTATTCGGTTATGGGGGCAAAGTATTCGGTCACACATGATCTTTGCAGTTCATTGTAGTAACAGAACAAAACAGAGTACCTTAATTTGGCCAAAGCATGTGGCTAGATAGATGAGAAGGTCTTCTAGGAAAGAACCATTCTTGATCAATCCCAACATAAAACAGAAATCCAAAAAAAAAAAAAAAAGTAAAAAAGAAGAAGATTAGTGAAGAAAACAATGATATCATTATTGCAGAGATAAGATTCCCTAAGCTCAATTTTAATAAGATGTAATCAGAACCATATTTATTTAAAATAATGCCCTGTTTGGTTGTCAAAGGAGCTTGCTTGACAGCTAAATTGAACATATTTTATAGTAGTAAAGAAAATAAAAATAAAAGTCGGATTCTACAAACCGATCTGATACAACTTGCGGGGAAGGGATGGTTACTTAAGCTGTGGTTGTTGTAGAGGAAAAGGAGAAAGTTTCCTCCTCCAGTGCGAAAAATAAATTTCGCAAGTTTTGAAATGAGGGCCTGTTTGGTATCGTTTACATTTTCGATGTTTTCATCTCTTGTTTTTTCGAATACAAGAACAAAGAAAAGTTCAAAAACAGCCACCATTTTCATATCTTTTCATTTGTTAAACAATGGGTTCTACCCAAAAAAAAAAACTCAAGGAAAATATTTGGAAACAATTTGCCAAACAATTTTTTCCTAGTCAGATTCTATCAATGGAACTTGAGCTGTTGCTCTGTTCAATTGAAACCTGGTAAATTTTGTTATAGATAAGAAATTTCAAATGGGTATTATATATAAAAATTGTTGCTCCAGTGCCATGGGATGATGAATCAGTAATAATGGTGTCAATGAAACTCTTAAGAGCAAGAACATAATACCTAACTAAAAGCAATAGTGGAGTATCCGATAAGCCACTTTTAAGCAACTTTAGAACAGAATCACATTCCAGTATGGTGTCGGCATCCCCACAAGTAAAAATCAACTAGATTTCTGATGGAAAGGAACCATTTTTAGAAAACGATAAGCTACTAATGATGTAATGTTAAAATGGCTTCTGCACGGGTGGCGCGAGACTAATGGCAAAAGAAACATTAGGGTTGCGTTTGGTAGAGCTTTCTAAATATGATTTAAGAGTAAGAATTGTATTTTGAGTTTGTGAGTTTTAGAATTATGATTTGGGTGTAGAAAATTTGTTTGGTAAAAGAGTTTTGAAAACAGTTTTGAATTGAGTGGAGAATTTTTGATGTGACGGATGATATTTGATACAAAAACTTACAACTAATAACCAAACATATAATTCAAAATTCTATTAAAACACATAAAAAATTTTAAAAAATTCGGAAAATATTTTTTTCGAATATATAAAAATTAAAATATCAATTGCAAAAAAAAAAAAAAAAATTTGTACTGTTCCGGTCAACTGGCCGGGCGACTGGTTAGGCCAAATTTCAAAATTTTTTTTTTGAAAATCGTGCTCTCAAACAGAGTTTTTTTGCAGAGTTATGGAAAATTAATTCCAAATACTTATCCAAACATTATATTCAAATGTGGGAATAGAATCAACGTTTGAAAATTGTTCTAAACAGAGCCTAGGTGTCCCTTGGTAACGTTTACAATTTATTACTTTTTTGTTTTATAAACAACATAAACATGTTTATATTTATTATTGGTAAAAACAAAAACATATTTGTTACACATGTTTTAAAATTTTGATTTGAAAACAAGTGAGAGACAGTGGTTGGAAGTGGTTGCAACTGAGAAGAAGTGGTTGCAAGTGAGAGATGGTTGTTGGCACCAGGAGGTAGTGGCCGGAAGTGCTTGCTGGTTCTAGTGTTTCTTTCAATCTCTTTGTATTGCTTTTATAGATGTGTTTAAGTACATTAAATTGTGACTGCCATATACCTGTAATGTGGGTAAGTAGCAATTTCTATCTAACTAATGAAAACTATAAATACAAATGAAACCGTTGCGTCATTTTGGCGGCGTGCTCCAAATTCTTCTCTGCTCGTCAAAACTTCCAACGACCGCAGACTGTTGCTCATTTCCAAGTCGATTTGCAAAAAGATCATAATATGCCATAGGATCCACACTTTCTAGTATTTTTATTGATTTTCCACTGTTTTCATCAATCATCAATTGTCCATCTTTGGATTCAATACCCGTCGCAATTACTTTCACGCGCTTTGCTTGAAACAATGAATTCATGATGGAATGATCACCACCCAAGATTACAGCGCCAATAATTTCCCCCAAAAATGCATCCTACAACGAATAAACATTTGGGAAAAAAAATGGTGAAAACAAATTTCTGCATTGCAGAAATCATCAAAGCTTGTTGAAATTTGTCCAGTTAGATTGACCATTTAATCAAACATACCATGTGTTGATATCTATGATTCTTTTGTTGCAAGCGGTGTAGCCTTGATAGCAAACGCCTTGCGAACATAGCTTCGGGGGTCTTTTTCGTCAGGTGAAGCCTATCTAGAATCTTAGGAAATGCACTGACTTTACGCTGAATGCCAAGTGGAATGAGAGTGATGTCAAGTTCTGAATCGAATACAGTCTTTGCAGCAAACGGGTCAAGAAATATGTTGAATTCAGCATATTCATTTGAAGGAATGGTGAAGACATTTCCTTTTTCTGTGTTATCACGGTTGATGTGTCCCCCCACTATAAACACATCCTGCATTTAGTTCCAAAACCATCGGTTATGTTCAAGACAATAATTCTGTTATCGTGAAAAACACAATAAAAAAGATCCAAACTGCTCATAATGTGACTGTTAAAATGAAAATTTTACAGTAACAGGCCTAGAAAATGAAGCAAAGTACTCTCAGAAGATGTCAATTGAAGAATGCATCATCTGTAAAACATAAATTGAAGGAACTAACCTGAATTAGAGAGCTTGTGTTTTTGCTAGAAAGAATTATCTTTGCTAAATTCGTCAAGGGACCGTTGGTCAAGATGGTAATCTTAGATCCTGAATCTAACGATTTCAAAACAGACTCCCAAATTTCCAGTGCTTGTGGTTGTCTCAGTTCAGGGTGATCGGTATCCCGAGGAGCTCCAAATTTTACAGAGTTCTCTGCAGTATACCTGGAATAAAACTCAAGCTTCAGTCCTAGCCTACTACCCAGCAAAAAATGTATGCAAGTAACAACAAATTCAAAGTGAATGTGCAAGTAATTTAGTAGATGAGATGAATACAATGCCGGAAATTTTACATGTGGATTAATAATTCCTACGGGTATGTGAATGTTTGCAAGTAATAACATGCTTTAAGAATACTCTCTCAATGCATTTTTCTTGAAAAATATGAGTATATCTGCAGAGTACCTCCGGGGACTTCGTGGCAAATCACGAGCAAATCCATAGAGAGTATCGGAGTCCAAAAATCCACCGCTACCATGTGGGATAGCCTTCAAGTACTTGCAATCTCCAACAGCAGAGAAAACAGAATCAGACTGGTTCATTGCAAATACATCTCCTAAACCAACAGGAATGTCGTCACGACCCATCATATGCAGTAGATCATAAATGATATCTATCGTTGCGGCATTTGCCCAGCCAGTTGGACTCACTAATATTGCCTGGATTAAAAGAGAAATACAATGCACATTGAAATTGCTTTTCAATAATTGTCAGTTCTCTTATTCATTCAAGTGGGATCTGATTTTTGGTTTAAAATGGAGGAGACTAGAGGTTTTTAGGATCAGAAACAAATAGAGTACATGAAGTTAGTTTGGCAAAAGTAACATCAAACTACTTTGAAAACAATATGAAAAGGATGAGTTTTTTGAAATTTTTATTTGAGTTCACCAAACTAGTTTTTATTTTTTTAAAAAATAATTCACAAAATAGATTTGAAAACTTTGGCAATCACAGCAATCTCATTGACAATGCAACTGGAAAAAAAAAGAAGGGAAATCAGCTTACCTTGAGGTTGATGACTTCCACGGGTAATTTAAGTAGATAAAACAGAGCCAGAAAATCTCCTGCACTCATATCCATGTCAAACACAACATTTTTCCCAAGTTTCTTCCCTCCAAAGTCTGGTTTGTGAAGAACCTCTTTGTAGTAAGGAAACTGTGTCGAAAAATTGAACTTTCCAGTATGTTGAGGGCGGTTCAGAACCTGTAACCCATGATCGATATGGTGGTATTAGTGTGATAAATATGGAATACATACACGACTTCCTAACCTCTGCATATTACATCTGGAGATATATAGCAAAAAAATGAAGGATTTGTCATTGGACCAAGACCTAGATGAACTTACATCCAAGAAACTTATAAAAAATTCTCTGTTTAGAGAGCTGTTTTTGTTGCGATTCGGTTTTGCTTTTGTAGCAACAAGCACAGGCACTGCTTCTGGACCAGTTACCTCCATCGTATAACCATCCTGATTTGAACAGATTGAATAAGTAGGCAGATGTTAAAAAAAAATGTGAGTAGCCATCAAAATACTAAGAACTTCCTTTTTGCTTCAACTGCAGACCAGAAAACATATTTTAGATGTCACCCATGAGAAGCATGGAAATTACCTTGCACCTCCCTTTCCCATTCTTGACAATGCAAAATGGGTCTCGGAGTATAGTCTGAACGTGACCGCTGTGAATGCCACCTTTCTTTAAATTGAATTTTGGAGTTTTATGACCATCAAAGAATGGATTTGAGCCATCAGATACCCCATACGGTTTGTTTGAAGTAACTACAGTTATATTCATGATCTCCGTTTCAGCAAATTCATTTTCGCCACTATGGCCAAGACGCATGATGGAAGTAGCTACACCAGACGTAAATGAGTCCCACATAAAATAACTCTGCATTGCATAGAGTAAAGTCACAGAAATGAGTTGAAATTCTCAAAAAACAGAAAATTATAAAACTTCATTTATTTTTTGAAATATTACCGTGTAAAATTGATCATCAAACCAAGTATCACGAGCCATTTTCAAGGACATGAAGCAGTATTGTGCCTCATAGGTATCCTGACTCTGCTCAAATGCCTTGAAAAACATTTCACTTATGGGAATAGTGTTTGTTGCATCCAGTGGAACAAGCGTAACAGGAATCCCAGAATGGATTACCTACAATATAATAAAACAGTGTCAATTTAAACTTTTTACGAGGCCTGTAATGTTATGTTAAATTAATAAGACAATTCTCAAACATTATTTTAGAACTGAGGGGGTCAGTGTACTAAAACAAGTGTATTGATTACCTGGTATGCAGCAAAAGGATCTCCAAAAATATTGAACTCAGCATAAGGATTACTAGTGTAATCTGTGAACAAATTGCCACTGTCGCCACACTGCCGAGGCTGGCAAGATGAGCTGGCATTTTGGGGGCAGCAACCAGTTGGGTTCTTTGACCTCACACCACCACCCATGATGTAAACATGCTCAATATTTTTCTTTAAATGTGGATTTTTCATAAGAAAAATACCAAAATTTGTATGTGCTCCAATAAGAAAAACAGTAATGGGACCGGCAGATATTTTGTCGATCATTACTTGCTGAGCAGTGGGCTGCCTAAGTGGAGAGTATTTCCTGCTCCCCTGTAATTTCATGATCAAAATAGTGAGCATTGTACATAAATAGTACAACCAGAAATGATCTTAACAGGCACATGTGAAGACTGAACAATGCCATGTGAAGTTGTGATACGTATGTTGCAAACACGAAGGTGGCATAATCAAAGGATAGAAAGAGACACATCTAAAAAAAAAGGGATAGAAAGAGAGAGAGAACTGAGATATTATGTCAGAAAAAATCTTCTTCTTATATTCTAACTTTAGAATATTGCAGTCAAGCCACTACAGCTGCTTTTATTTTCAAGCTGTACACCTTCATTAAGATGAAAAACCATTGGATCCTGATGGCCCTAATTTTCACCCAACATGAAATTAATATTAAAAATAATGGTGTCCTAGTGCACGGGATTCCTGCTAATATGAGGTTTGGGGAAGACAAAATATATGCTGACTTATATCCATTTTTTGGACTTTCCATAACTTGACCCCGTGCTACCAAGGAAGCCAAAAAATTGCTTCTGCTGGACAATCCTCTCTCTATTGTGGCGTACATTGCAAATAAATAATGATATATTGCATATTACAAATTCTAATGTGCAAGGGAAACCAAGAAAAGAGTAACGCGCTTGTTTGCCATACATGAATGATCAGCATGTTCACGGATTTTATCATATGTGTGATAACAAACAATACATTAGAAAGCAGAACTAGAAAGAGAACAGCCACATTCTGTTCCACTATAAAATTTGCATATGAATTCAGAAGGAACACCTCCTAATGATTTCGATAAATTTTTCATACCTGTGGAAGGAAGCTTTTTCGACAGCCATAGTTGCTATCAATATCTAATCGTCCTGCCTGACCAACAGGAATCGCTTGTCTATATCTGCAATATCCAGCTGTACCAATCCCCTGATAGAAGAACTAATATATTAGAATCATAATTCCCCTGTCAACGAAAAAGAAAGAAAAAGATTTTGAAATGTATTCCAAATGTTTGGTTAATGCTCTAGACACAACTGATCGCAAAATGATACCATGTAATGGCATAAGTAAAGGCCTAAATGTTCAATTTTGTTCCTAAAAAAATTGCATCTATTAGTTCCCAAATCAATAAGAACGGTAGTCATGGGATATGTGGAGCTGACTTAATCCACCTTGGTCGGCTGGCTGGTAAGAGACAATGCCGGCCTCATTCATCCCCTTTTACATTACCTCATTGAATGGACTATAATACATGCATATATCATTGGCGTGCTCCGAGCTACTGAATAAATTTTCATCTATTAGTTGGACACAAGAAAACAGGATATTCCTATGCACCTGATCAATTATAGGGAGATATCCACCAACATTTGGTAGTATGGTACCATCTTCAAGTATTCCACCTTCACCTCCCACTCCAACGACAATGTCATCGCGACCCATCATGTAAAGAATGTCGTAAATTTGATTCACAGCATGCCCAGCATTTGTCCATGCATTTGTGTTAATAGTTACAGCCTGTAGAGGTAATATCAAGAGTTACAGTTTGTCTGAATTATTGTTGTAAACTGAGACAATCACGGGTAGCAATTACAACTAAAAATCAACAAAAATCTCAAACTAAACCACATTTAATTAACTAACTAAAATTTCCAATAAACAAGGGCCACCTCAGGCATTTTTCTTAATATATCACAGAATGTTAGGGTTCAACAAGAAGCAAAAGTAAATCTCACACACTTTTATGACATGCACCTTTAGTTTTTAACATTCTAGAAATGAGGAACAATAAAAATTTCTCAGATTTTCAATGGGTTGGGATTCTTTGTCCCAAAAAGAGGTGTCTGTCTCTTTGTCTCATCATTTATAACTATATGATTTAATTGTTTTTTAATTTAAAATTAATTAAAAATCAAATGAAATTGGGGACAAACATCTTTTACAACAGAGGATCACGGTCAATTCAATCATTTCCAGATCTTGAGCTTTTTTTATATATATGCAATAAAAGTATAATAATCATTTGCATCGGTCATGAAGGATTAGTAGAAATCTTAACCATATCATCCAGACAAAGCCAATCAAAGACGAACATTTCACTGATCATAACTATATTATATATAATATATATTTATATATAGGACTAGTTGACTCAAATCTTAATTGTAGTTGACACCAGAGCTCATTCAACCAATCGAAATAAAAAATACATTCATTCCAAGCAATAGCTATTAGCTAACAATTAACAAAACCTCAATTGTCAAATTGCAATATAAAATTCATATCAAACTCTCTGATATTCAACTCCTGTGGTGTCTTCGAAGACACATCAAACATATATACAAAATTTAATAAGCAAAGCCAATGAGATACCTGCAAGTCGAATTCAGATCGGTTAAGCTTCAAGAGGTACAAGAGAGCGAAGAAATCGTCAGTATCGACATCTGTATCCAAAAGAATCCGATGAGGCCGACCACCACCACCGTTGACCGCGTAGAAATTAGCTAAAACTGTTCCAATTACAACTATAGCTACATATAAAAATCTCTGTAACAACATTTTTTTGCTGTTTCGATCACAGACAGACAACAAGTAGCTTTCTGGATCTCTTCTCTTCTCTTCTCTTCAATCTGCAATATCAAAACTACTTTCAAATATATATATATATATATATATATTAAATCCTCGCACAACTGTTACATCAATCACATTCCTGAGAAAGCAACAACCACAAAGCAAAGTTTAACAACACGTATATATGTAAATTGATTCCACATCATGTTTTGTATATATATATGCACGTATAACATATACGCATATATTCTAGAACAGAGAGATGAATATTGATAAACATATGAATTCTAGAGAGAGAGAGAGTAGGTGCTTACGGCGGTGGAAATGGATCGCCGGGAAGGAGAGGGAGGCGCGTGAGAACCGCCGGAGGTGTCGTTAGGGGGGACAAAAGGAAGATGCAATCACGTCTCCAACTGCAAGATTCTTGGAGAGAGAGAGAGAGAGAGAGAGAGAGTAGAGATTGGGAATTGAAAAACAGATAATTGTGTGTATATACTATATATATATATAATAAAGGAGTTGATAGTTACATTACATGAGACAGTAGGAGCAAAAACAAAAATTTGGAAAGGTTACGTATAGTTTAGGTTGGCTGTCCCAAAATGAACTTATGGTCCCGATTTCTTTCTGAAGAATGATAAGGAAATCTATTTTTTAGATTTATTTTTTTAGATCTAATGATACTTAAATGATATAATTAGTTTGAAAGATAGGGTTGTTTTAATCTCATTTGAGAATATGTTATTTTAATAATTTTTTAATTTTTTGAATAAAATATGAGGTAAGAAAAAAAAATGTTTAGAATGATTTTTTGATTTTTTACGAAAATATATTCAAAAAGAGGATTTGGGGTGGCTGCTGTGCGGGGTGCACAACAGCCACTATTGTGTAGTCAAATAAGCCCATTTCGGAACCTATTTTGATAATTCAAACCATTCACATTTTAGAATATATCAAATAGAATATACCTGTAACAAATCAAATTAATTGGATATTCCACCCACATTCGTATTCATTTTAATACTTTAAATCACAATTGTTATTTATTTTTGTAGATACAAATGTAAGTGAATGAATGGGTAAATAATATCAGATTAACTTGATTTTTTACAGGTATATTCTAGTTAATATATTTTAAAATGTGAACGGTTCGGATTATTGAAATGACCTCGAAATGGGCCCATTTGACCACACAACAGTGGCTGCTATGCACCCCACGCATCAGCCACTCCAAATCTGCAAAAGGTAGAGAGAAAAAAAATTTTAACTTTTTGATATAAATTATAGACTTTTTGATTTTTTTAGTAATTTTTTTTTACTTTTAGGCTAAAACAAACACATGCTAAACGAGACCTTAGATATCTAATTAATTACCACATGAGTTTAAAAATTGAATCTAACTTTTACATTTGAATAGTAAGCTTGTTTGGTTTGATTTTTCAGGATTCCTTTTCAAAAAATTAAGGCAGCATTTGGTTTAGTTTGGAATTGTGATTCTCTTTTTGAAGTTTTGATTTAAGTCAGAAATTGTGAGTTGAGTTTTGAAAAGAAATTTTTTTTTTGATTATAAGTTTTGAAAGGTGTTTTTGAATTTTAAATTTTGAAAAGAACGAATTGGGTCTACCCAATCGTCCGCCCTGCCGGTTGACTTGAACAATATATATATACATATATATTTTGGCAATTGCAATTGCAATTACAATTCATTTATTTGAACCAAAAAAAAAGTTATGTTTGTTTTAGATATTTTATAAATATAAAAATTATTTTTAAATTTTTTTATAAAAATAATTTAACAATCCAATCACTAACCATTTTCAACATTATATCATCAAAAAAGTTTTGAATTGAGTCTTGTGTTGTGTGTTTGGTTGTAAGTTTTGAAATTAATTTCAAAAAGAGTTTTGTGTAATTTTGAGTTGTGTGTTTTGTTATGAATTTTGAAAAGTGTTTTGAAAATTTTGCCTTTGGAATCATGACATGATTCCAAAGGCAAACCAAACAGAGCCTAAATTTTTTTATTTTTTGCATTTTTTTGTTTCATATTTTTTTTGTTTTTACTGATTTTTTTTTTAATTTTTAGATGTACCTAACATAAATACACTTAAAAAGTATAATATTTATGAATTTTTTATAAAAAAAAATCACTAAATATCAAAAGTACAAAAAAAAGAAGAGAATTCAGTATATTTTTTGTATTCTTGTGTATTTATTAATTTTTTATAAATATTTTCCTTTTTAGATACATCTGAGTAAGGTGTATCTAAAAAAGTATAAAAATTGCTTAAAATTTTAAAAATATTCACTAAAAATAAAAATAAAAAACGAAAAATGAAAAATTCAATTTCTAAAAAATTGAGTCCAAAAAATTGAAACCAAACATTTTTTTCTTTTTAAACAGAGATGATGAGTTTGATAAATAAAATACTTATTACTTGAATAACACATATTATGTGTATAATTTTATTTGTCATTGTTATTATATTATTATTATTATTTTTAAAGCTTTACACACATCGCAAGTACCTAGTATACATTTATATATATTTACGTTTAATGTTTTTTTTATAAAGGCGAACTCCATCCAAACATCTCTTTATAAACTTTTGGTTGAGTTTTCAATGTTTCTGTAAAAAAATTCAAAATTTAATTTGGTTATTTTTTTTTAAAATAAACAAATTACTATTTTTATATAATTTTCTCTTTCTTTGGGATAAAAATAACTTTTAAAATACAAAAATAAAATTTTTTGTATTTATTTTTGTCAAATTTATTTTTAAATTTTAAAAAAAAATTAAAAACAGATTCAACTAACTCTAAGTTTATCATAAAAAAATTCTAAGTTTTTGGTTATATCTCTCATGAGGAAAAAAAAAATAAAAAATAAAAAAAATACAAAGCATAAGTTTTTATATTCATGTTGTAAAAAAAAAAAAGTTGTTGCTTGAAAATTCTTTCCTTTCATCAATCGTGTCTAAAAAATAAAAATAAATAAATAAATAATTGACATATACATCACAACCATAAGATTCTAAATAATAAACAAGTTAAATAATGGTTTATAACAAAAATATTAATCAAAAACTTTTTCTTAGATGTGATGAAACTAAAATTATTCATTTCAAAAAAAATCACTAATCCAAAAAAAAGCTAGCTCAATTTCAAAAATATAATCACCAATGATTCTATAAGTTTTTTTTTTTTTTTTTTTTTTTCACTGTCAAAATGAATTTTTCCGTGATAAATGAGATAATAAGAAGATAAGAGAAACAATATTTTGTATGAGAATTAGTGATTGCTTTTTTTATTATATAAAATAAAAAAATCAAAAGTTGTGAGACCATCAAATTCAAATTCATAATTTAAAGTCATTATAGTGACAGAAAATAATCTATGGTCAAACTGAAGATGATGGTACCATTGTCACCCAATCCAATCCTCTCCTTATTTATTAAAAAATGAAAAAGAAAAAGAAAAAAAGAAATGTAAGTGGGTTGAACCTTCCATGTGGGTAACATTGTCATCATTTACCACAGTCCTCATCATTATGGTTACAACTAATTTAATTTCTCGTGAGTTGAAAATTGTGTTTCTCTATTCTTGTTGTGTGCTTTGACCATCCACATTATTGTCTCTCTCCATCATTTATTTTCTTATTTTATTTTTTATGTCTGACTTTTTATTTTTGGTTGTATTTTTAGTATGTGAATGGATGAAGGTTGGACTTAAAAGATAAACACTATCAAAAAGAATGGACTAGTTGATTATATAAATGAAAACTTATTTAATTAAAAAATACTATTCATACAAGATTTTTATATAAAATTTGTTATCATAATGATATATTTGTCACATTTGAATATTTAAATATCATTTAAATGAATATTTTATTTTAATATAATCATATCATTTTGAAAAATACTATGACCTTCAAATAATTTAATTACCAAACATCTCACATTGTGTGGGGTTTGGCAAAACATTTGATAAATTATTTGGGGTCTCTAGCATCACTCCATCATTTTATATACTTTTATGTTTCTATTTAATGAATCATACTAAGTAATAGTGATAAACAAATATCATCATCTTGTCCAACATTGGACCCACTAGAAGATCTCTTTGAACCAAAAATATCAAACATAAACAACTCAAAAATCTCAATTGGGAACTAATCCCTAATTGGATTTGATATCATAAGGTAAAAAGAATGGACATTATGGGATTGATTGCATCATATGGTTAAAAGTATATGATTTCTTATCATGTGATGGAACATCCCTTGAATTTGTGTCATCTAAGTAGGTTACAACTTACAATTCATTGCAAAGTTCAAATAACCCTTTAAACAAGAATCACCCAAGATCACTAAAGTACCATCTTTTTAGCACAACTTGCCCTTCTTATTTTTTTTAAAATGAGGGATTAACCCGTGCTATGAGCTGAAATTTGGAGAAAGAAAAATTAATTTAAAATTATATTTTCTACTTAAATATATACTGAAATGTAAAACTTTATACGTAACTTATGAATATAATAAAGATTTACTAAGATCAAGCATGAAAATTTGATGTTACATTCAATATGTGTATACATGCGTCTTTTATAAATGATCAAATTTTTAAAAAACAATGTTAAGTGTATAATAATATGTTATTGTCTACGAGCCGTTTTATTCATTTCAAAGTTGAGAATATATTCTATTATAAAATTAAGTTAATGTGAAAAATCATTATTAAGGTGATTTGCTTAAGATTTTCTAGGAGTAAAATAAAATAGTTTTAAAATAACGTTATTTGGTAATTTTTTTTAATAACTTTAGTAAATGAACTTAAATCCAATAATAAATTGATTCATCTCTATCCTTTTATTTGATTGGTATTTACGTGGGAAGTGGGACATTTTTTAGTGCAAAAACAGGTCTTCGACATTCTCATTGGATACCACTATGTCCACGTGTCACCACAGCTTTCTACTTTTATTTTTATTTTTATTTAATTCCAACGGTTAGCTTATAATCATTTGTTGTGTCTTATTGGTACCTCCACGTGGACTATTCACCAAATTAAAAAAATAAATAAATTATTCAACTTAAGAATAGAATAGTAGGTGTTTTTTTATAACAAATATAATAATATTTTAATTTGATTCTTATTATTACACAATAAAGTTTCTCTATATTCTATGCTTCTATTTTAAAAAAAAAAAAATTAAAAGAAATGAATTATTAGATTATCTTGTGAAAATGCTACCTATTGTGACGAATTTTCATTCTGTTTAGTCAACTTCACTAACAAGAATTTTATTTTATTTTATTTTATCATATTGTATTACTAGTTTAATGGGTCATATCATTCATATAATGAAATATATATATTTAAAAGTAAAATATGTAAATACTTTTTTTTGTTAAGTTTTCATAACAATTAAAATTGTTGAAGATCTAAAGATTCTATTTTTTTCCATTTTAGATTTGGC